CCAAAATGAGTGAAACTAATACAGTGAAACCTGTGGAAGCCAGGACCTGTGTAAGGTGGAACCTTGTCAACGAATGAAAACTCAAATACTTTCCACTAAAGTAAGTGATAGAAAAGTGGCAAGACTGGACCCTGTCAAAAGCGAAAAACTTGCAAGATCTGGAAAAACAAAGCAGTTTCATTGCATTTCGGTTCTCACAGGTTTGACTGCAGATGGTAAAAAAAAAAAAAAAAAGCAGTAAGCTAGTTTACATTTGAACTGACTGATAATTAAAAATGAATATTTAACTTAACAATAGACATTACTGAAAAAGTACACATATTTATATGATACAAACAATGTACTTGAAAAATTCAGCACTCAAACTAGGCACAGAAATGAATTGTCTTAAACTGACAAAAGGTACCTAGAACATAGTATACAAGTAGTGGAAATTTAGAAGTATTTCATTAAAGGAAGAAGAGGAAAAAAGATACCCACTATCACTACTGGTATTCAGCATTGTTCTCGTGAACCCACGTTATGCAACAGCACAAGAAAGAAAGGTATGACACTTGGAAAGGAAGAGAAAAAATGTTATTATTTGTAGATGATAAACCTGTCTGCTGAGAAAAGCCAAAAGAATCTGGTGATAAACTGTGAAATCTAATGAGAGAATTAATTAGTTCATTTAGGTTTCTGGATAATAAGATGAACATGCAAAAAATCAGTAGTATTCTTAAATATTAGCAATTTATAAATTGACAGGAAAATGATCCCATTAGTAATATCAGTAAAATTCAAAAGATGGAAAGTAATAAATCTGGTAAATTGTGAAGGCTTTAGGGAGAGAACTATTGTTGTTAGTTGCTATAAAGTCACTTCTGTCTCATGGCAATGCTGTGCATGCAAAGTTGAACTGCTCTCTAGGGCTTCAAGGCTGTGACTTTTTGGCAGCGTATTGCTGGGCTTGTCCAAAGTACTTCTGGGTGAGTTTGAACCTCCAACTTTTCAGTTAGTAATCAAGTGCTTAAAGGTTTGTGACACCCAGGAACTACAAAACAATATTAAAACAACTCTTACAGGCCTGAAGAAATGAAAAGATCCCTCTCTAGCACATGAAATAGTGAGAGATGTTTCTGGAGAGCAAACTGGTGGTGCAGACTGGAGAGATCCCTGAGACCTAAACAACTCCCTGAGATTTGCGGAAGTCAGAGTTAGAGTCTTTGAAAAAGGCTAAAATTTTGCCTGTTTGATCCCTTTCAAAATTTGACACTTCACGTGGCCTATCTCTTTGGTTCTTATTTCAGCTTTTGCTCCTTGACACTATCTTCAGTTCACCCTTTTTCTCCACTCCTCATAATCACAGGACTGTTTTATACCATTTTGATGTTCCTCAAGGGAATTTGATAAGTTCTATGGTTGGTTTGGTTTTTGGTACGGATAAGTGGGGAGATATAGTGACACAGTGGTTAAAAGTGCTTGGCTGCTAACTGAAAGGTCAGTGGTTCAAACCCACCAGCCACTCTGTGAGAGAAAGATGTGGTAATTTGCATCCATAAACATTGACAACCTTGCAAACTCTGTAGGGCAGTTCTACTCTATTCTGTAGGGTCACTGTGAGTCAGAATTAACTCAATGCAGTGGATTTTGCATTTGGTAAGAAGAGTGGTGTTTAAGGGAGACTGCATCCAATCATTCCACCCCCCATGCACTTCCTTTTATTCTTGTATTCTTCTTCAAGTTCCACCTTTCTACTCTTCTTTTCACTATTATACATGTATTCTAGCTGATCAACTTACACAACATCTTCTTCTGTCTCCTCACATCTCTGGGTGAAGTCTAATTTTTCCATTTGTTTCACTGCTACCTTTCTTATAACCTGCACTTTTAGCTTCAGATCTAATTAGTAGACTGATGTTCATCCTATAACATGCAAGCCATCCCCAACCCTATTCTCTTGATTCCATGATAATTGTGTCCTATGAACTGAGAGGGAATGAATTGCACTATTTAGGTTCCCATTACCTGGTGGGTTCCCACCCACATGATCTCAGTGCAGTTGATCTTGCCAATCCCATCAATGAAGTTCTAAGTAGTAAACCTCATAGATGCCCCTCAGATTTTACGTGGCCTGAGATATCTTGGTGTTTGACCATCTCCCTTTTGAAATTATCTCCTCATGTAGCTTTTTCCAAGGTTACATACCCCCTACCAGGTGGCAAGTGCAGCCAATAACTAGCTGATGCAGGGATACAAAGATCTGGCTACCTTGTTTCAATTTAACAAAGTACTCTGAAGGGCCATCCTGCTCATGAACTCTCAGTAAGATGGACAAAGACCAGTTACAAAAAGCGCTTTGAACTGGTTCATTGCAGTTTGACCTCTTGCTGAGAATTTGCATTTCCACCCCAGATATACTGAATCAGAATCTATATTTTAAGAAGATCCCCACCTGGGATCAATATATTGCGTAGAAATGCAAATTCTCACTGCAGGGAATTGAACCAAAATAAACTGATTCAAAGCCCTGATTGTACTTGAATTACAGGTAAGCTTCTCCTTCTGCCAAGTCTTGTCTTCCTTACACCCTTACATCACCTTATCTGGCATATATTATAGGCACTGTTGAGAGAACTGGACTCACTCCAACAATTTCAAAGAACACAAAAGACACTCTTATCCTAGATTCTCATGGTAGGGATGCTCTCAAGATCTTTTCTAAACATTTATTTTCACTCCAGAAGGCACTGATTGAATCAATAGTGTCACTACTAATGGCTACCATGTTTTCCATCAATGATCTCTAGCTTCCTGCTTCTTACCTGCACAGCCAAATCATCATGCTTCTTGCATTTTAGGCAGTAATAGTATCTTACCTTTAGGATATTATTGGTGATGCTAAAGCCTTCAATGAACAAATCTCCAGAGGTAGCAGTCTTTTCTCCAACCAGCATTTGGAAAAGAGAGCTTTTTCCTGCTCCATTAAATCCAAGCAATCCAAAGCACTCTCCTTTTTGTATTGTAAGGGAGATATTTTTTACAGCCAGAATAGCTGGACACTTAAAATATATCTAAAAATACAGAAAACACAATGTAGTGAATACTGCTTACAGATCAAATACAATCTGTACCTTGGCCCCTATATACCACTACCTAGGACAATTTCACAAAGCCACTCCTATTATATTGGGAGAAGATAAATAGATCACAAAGCACACTGTGAGCCCTGGAAACCAATGATATGCTCTGAAGTAAGGATGAAGCCAATTTGATGTTGGCCTGTGAGTAACATTACCTTTGTGAGTTCCTTAATAAGTACTGTGGCATTCAGCTCCTCCTGAGGAAGCTCCACGACTCTCTTCCTTTCCTTTTCTACATCTTCATCTTCAGATTCCCCAGTTAATTCCTTGGAAATTATATTCTGTGTTTCAAGATAAGTATAGAAATGGACATTATTTTGTCATCTGTTCCAGAATGGGTAACTTTAAGAAACTAAACTGGGGGCTAATCTCAAAGATGTCAAAACAAAAAATTTGAGTCATTTCCAAGATACTTCCTGTATTATCACCTCAAATTTCCTATACAAATGTGGCTGAGTTTTGAAGAATGAATAGTTTATTAGCAGAATAAGGGAAGGGGGAGCAGAAGAGAGGAAAACAACATCCTATGTAGAAGAAAGAATATTTGTTAATGTGATTTAAATTTATTATGTGCTTTAAATATTTGAAAAAATGTAATTTAAAGCATTTAGAAAAATAGTTTGCATGATCTGGCACCTTAAGAAGGGAGTCGTCTCAAAAGGATATGGAAGCTCTCAAAAATACATTCCTGAGTTTGTAATCATAAATGACTTTTGCCAAGGCTTAAAAGGAGTAGAAGCTAAGAAAATTAGCAAAGCTTCACAGAACTTTTTCCAAAAAACTCACCAGACTGAATAGCCTATATGTGCAATATTAATATACAGATATGGATGCTCTTTGGTTATCCTGAGTAGACCAAATGGCTCCAGGAAACTTATTTCAGAAAGTTGGGGTAATTTTTAAGACATTTTTATCCAATCACTTTAGAACACATTGATCCTTGTTTGCCACAGTCTAAGAAATTATATAGCCTATTTTTGCCAGAATTGGACACCTCATCAAAAACTGAAGCCACAATTGAGATTAATACAATCAAATATGATTTGTTATAATTATAGTACATTCAACATAACAAAAGATTAGTGAAGGGGTAACTCTGTCTTTTATGTGGGAGAGAGAAAAAGAGTAAGTCTTCATGCAGAAAAACTTTGAGATTCCTAGAATGTCAATATGAGGAAATCCTTGGATCTTTGCCCCTGCAAAACTGGTGAAGTTTTTTTTTTTTTTTAAGTCTCTGAAAATAGTACTAAGGGCATAAAATGTATGAAGCACATTTACTCTAGAAAATCTATGAAGCCTCTAAATTTTTCAGATTTCAAAAACAGGAAATTATGGGACATACAAGGAAATGAATTTTTACCCATATACACGAAAAAGAAAGAAACAGAAATTGCACGTGAGAGTGACCAGATGTCAGATTTAAGATAAAGGCTTCAAAGTAATCATTATGAATATATTCAAAGGCCTAAAGGAATCCAGGCCAAAAGAAATAAAGAAAGGTATGGTGACAATGTCTCATCAAATACAGAATATCATTAAAGGAATAAAAATTTAAAAATGAATCAAATGGAAATTCTGGAGGTGAAAAAGAC